AGCAAATTCCACAAGAGTTTACAAAGACTTATGGCTATAAAAGCCACACTAAGTAATTTACTACACCCCAGTGACCCTGCTGATACTTGAAGTATTGATGGCATAGCTTCCAGCATCATAGCAACCTGCATGCCAGCACATTTCAACAAATTGACAGATGAGTGGTAGTCATATGACAGAATAGAAAATTTGTCTAGATAATATACATGGTAATTAACATTGTTGAGGGCTTACTGCATGTCAGGTACTATGATAGACATCCTGTGTACCATCTCATTTGACTATAAAAAAGCCTCATTGTGTAGAAATTAGTACCGGACCAATTTTACAGATGAGAACTCAAATACCCCATTTTCCTAATTACACTTTAGGAAAATTATTGACCTCTGAATTGGTATTCTCATACAAGAAAATGGGTCTAATATCTACCTCATGGGGATTTCGTATCAGAGAATGGATTTATTTATTTCTCACTTGTTACTCAAAAATTCAGTTGTAGTGTTTCATAAGAATTGAATTGGATTACAAGAAACAGACTTCCGGTAAGATGGAGGAATAGGCAGACAGGTGAAATAGACCCTCTTCAACAGAGAAAAGAAAAACCAATTGACTAAGATAGAGAAGATTATCCTGGAACCCTGAGCTTTGAAAGGAACTATTCAGAAGTGGATTAGGCACCAACTAGTGGAGAAACCTGAACAAAACAGTGAGTACAGAGATGGTCAGAGCTGCGGATTGTTAGCTATTCTGACAAGACCAACAGTCTGAATATTTCCAAGTGGTGTTTGGACTTGAGAATTGACCTAAAAATCAGTCCCGGTCACCAAGGGCTGCAGGGACAACTGCTCTGGCAGCCTGTGACTAGAAAGGGAAATAGCAAGGAGGGAGACAACCTGAGCTGTGGACTTTCTGCTGTGAAGAGGGTGCAGCCATTTTGATTGTTTACATGTGGTGGCCATTTTGGATATTTAAAGTGACCGAAGGAACGGCCATTTTGAATGTTTACAAGTGACGGCCATTTTGGATATTTAAAGTGACCAAGGGCGCAGCCATTTTGAAGGTTTACACCTGGCAACCATTTTGGATTTTAAAGTGATAGCGTTCTCATTCAGATTCCAGGGACCTAAGAATAAGCTCTGTTTGCCAGGGTTGGTAAGGACATACGAGAGGCTGACAACAAGAAAGGAGACAGGAGGTGAGTGTATAAGTCCTGTCAACTAGTGAATAGAGGAGCACAGCAGAGTAGCCTGCCTGTATAGATAACATACAAAGAAAACAAAAATTGTGGGCAAGTCACTCCAACATATAATCATCAATTAAATATAAGCACAAAAATGTCACAATGCCTTGGAGACAATAGAGCATTACAGTCCACACACATACACACACACACACACACAAAACAAGATAAAGGAGGAGAAACAAGGGAGCAGGATACAGACCCAAAACACATCCCTGAGGAAAACGTAGCATTGGAACTCCCTGATAAGGAATACAAAAGAATTATATTTAGGTGTCTTCAAAGGATTGAGAGACAGACTAAGGAAAACACAGACAAAACCCTAGAAGAATTTTGGAAGAAAATACAAGAACAAAATGACAAAATAAATGAAAAATTAGAAATGAT